ACTCGGTGGTTCTCGTGATCAGGCAGTCACAGATTCTTCATCACTGTTGAGCTTGAAGGGAACAAACAAACAAACAAAAGGAAAGAGGAAACTGGGAGAACAATAAGGAATAGTTTATAGATGCCCCCTTCGAGTAGTTGCTTGTTGGGGAAGGCTGCGGTGTTATCCGGAGTGCGCTGTTAGGCGTGGGTGCCTCCGGGGCCTGGACCGGTTGGCAGGATTGGTCGAGGTTTCTTATTATATCAGAAGCCTAGTTTATATGCCAGTTGTCGTTTCACTTTTAATTCTTTACATAATCCATAGGTATCAAACCAATGGAATTTTCCTCTGTGCTATACCAATTCTCCTCTGTGCTATAGGCATCTAATTAATGGGTTCTGACAGCTATAATAACCAAGATTTTGATAAAGGTTCATGAATTCAACGGGTTGGGTTTTTTATTTAAAGGTTTTAAACTATTAGAATACATTCTAACAACATGTTTCGTATTAAAGCCAGATTTAATTTTAAACAGGCTTATTTTTTTTTAAACATCATTCAATTAAAGTAAAAAATTAATTTCAATTTAATAAAATATGTTTATTAACCCCTGAAATAGTCATCCCTTTCTTTCTCAGCATGATTCCTCCCTTTTCTGTCCCCACTCACTCGAAGCTTCCTGATTCGATTTCTTCATGAGACTTTTTCCTGCAGGCTGTGATACTGACCAGAGCTATTGCCATTATACTTCCTTGTATGCAGCTTCTTTGTTGTGATCATAGAGACTTCATCTGTTCTGTGAAGTCCACAATGTATGCAAAAACTAGTTCTAATAGTTCAATAGTTTCTCCAAGGCAAAAGATCAGATAATCATGCAAGCTTTCCACTAGGGGTCTTGGTAGTCTCTTGTTAGGACTTTTTCTCCCACACAAATATTGTACAACCATGTGAGATGATCTGTGGCCATTTGTTCATTTTTCTTAAGAATATCTGTCTGCAGTTCCTGCTCATTTAATTAAACTAGACAAGACCTTAAACTACTCTCCATAAACATCATCACTGATAACTGGTGTATAGCAGCCTCTACTGCATCTCTGTGAATTCCTGTAGTCTTGTTTTTTATGCTATCTTTATTCAGATCCATGGCATCATTTGCTTGTTTGAACACCTTGTATATCTTTCTACTAACCTAATCCATTTGTAGCAGGATGGTAAGAAACTGATGCAGCATGCTTGATGCTATTTCTTCTACAATCAGTTGAAACTTTTGGGAAGTGAATTAACTTCTATTGTCACTTACACTCCATTCAGAAAGTCTAGTTCTTGAAAAGAAGTCATGATATCTCCACTGCCTGTGCTGGGATGGCTTTAGGCCATTTAAAAATGTATCTACTGCAATCTGTCTGATCTTTTGCCTTGGAGAAACTATTGAACTATTAGAACTAGGTCCAGTATCAACTTTGTGGCCATGTCCCAGGACACAACAGACTAAGGTTAGATGCATGCCGTTTTTACTGATAATCTTTACATTGTTTTGTTAGTATCTTTTGTGCATCAATCCCTGACCAGAACTGTCATGTTTATGATACCCAGGGGCCTTCATGTACCATAATTTTGGGAGTATGCCTGACTTGAGCTCCACAGGAAAAAAAATACAGTACAGGAGACAAGATCTTAACCTTTCTCTAGCCTGGCCATATATGAGTGCCTCAGGCAGTAGCTTTCATTGTCTATAACTACTTCACCACATAAAAAAGAATTCATTACAAATGCAAGTTATTGGCACATCTATTGGCTTTCAGGAGTTCTGCATTTGTCTTTGGAGCCATGATGCTTTTGAAGGCAAGTTATTAATGCTATCAGCATAATAATACAGGGCATGGAAGGTCTACTTGCATATGCACATTGCTGCTCTGGTTGGTTTCTGGTAACTTCTAAAATAAAGACAACAGCGAGTATCACTAGTGACCCTGCAAACTATTTAAGGCTATATTACGTTATTGATACGCAGACCCAACCATAGGGTGCAGCTTTCATATCTACCACAGTAACGTTTAGTGGAGTCAAATGTTACCTAGCTGCTACCAATGTCCACATCAGTTTTGTGTAAATCTAAACTTTGCAGTATCCACGTAGAGTTACACAGGACCTTCCTCCTTGGTGTGCCTGATTCGTATATCTTGTTTTACTGCTAAATGAAAAGCAGAGCAAGTTCTTCACGACTCTCATTGATCCATATTCTTGGATTCCATAATTCTGTCTCAGTTGCTGAAGAGTTTACTATCACTGACACAAGGAAAACTATTTTGGGCGCTCAGGTAAATATTTGTTTCAAACAACCTAGTCAGTATCTTTCAGCTTAATGCTAGAAATTCAATCCGTTATAGTGACCTGCACTGCAGGGTCATGTGGTATTTGACTGACCAACAGAGAGAGACTGTTTCAGTGCTATTTTTTACACAGAAATATTTCACATGCACTCTAAAAAGCAGCACTTTCCATCCATTCTGTCAATGAGCTGATATCCTTTTTTTGCTTGTTATAATTGCCTTCTTCCCCACCCCCTCCCCAACACCTAAACCAAAAAAGGCAGTCAGGAGCTGGGAAGTGACAGTACAAACAACCAGTCTGTTGCTAAAGAAAAGTCTGAACTCTTGGATTCACTATAATGTGCTGTTGTATCAGTGAATGGGACTGTTACCTTTGCCTGTGGTCAGGTGCCCAGCCCCACTGTAAGCAGTAGATAGAACTGAGAAAACCCAGCTTCCCTTCATAAAAACAGTGGCAGTGGTTCTGCTGTAAAATAAAACCATTAACTGAATATCCTTTACAACAACTTGAGGAAATGTCTCTGATACCCAGTGCTTTCTGATGGAAACTGACTTCAGTCTTTTTGGGCACTGTCAGAATATGAAGATATCAATTTTGAGACCGAGCTGCTGCTGCACCTAGTACTATTATTACTCCAACTGTTATATAATCCTTAGTTTGCTGATAGAGTTTTACTGTTTGCTAGTAGATGAAAGAATTACATTGATTTATATTACACTGAAGTTTTCCACTGAGCCATTCCACTATTAGCCACTAGGGGGATGCACGTAAGTCACATGATCTGTACTTTCCTCCTTGGGAAAGTTCTCTAGGTTGCCATATGTCTGGGGAAATAAGGTCAATCCTCAATAGAGCCCCTATCCTTTCTAATACATTGTGTCAATACCTAAAGTCCCTTTCTCACATTCTTACTTCTTTTCTTTCTTTCCTTTTCATAGATTTCTAGAGTCAGAAGAGACCTGGCAGATCATTGGGTCCGAGCCTTTTATTTTTTAATCCTATGTGATTTCTCTTTTCAATCTGTTTAGTCCATTTTGATTTATTGAGAAGAATTCCTATCTAGTCCACAAATGACTATAACTGCAGAACATTTGCTGGCTCTCCTTTCCCCCTCTCCACCCCCAGTTAGAAGATCAAATTGGATGGGAGTGAGAGATGAAATGAAGAGGGGGAAGAGAACTGCACCTACACTTGCATATATAATTTCCTAATATTGTTGCTCCGGTGTAAGGGCTGTGGTTGCCTAATGGATATAATGGGATGTAATGCCTTTCTAACAACATTTTGTCCACAAAACAAGAATGTATAGGAGCCCCCAGATTCTGCATTGCACCCTGTATGCCCCTTGACACACTTTTGGGATATTTATAGGGACTATAATAGCATTTCTTATATCTTAACTAATGATGATGAAGCAGAGATTCTTTTCTTAATCACTGGATCAAATTCCTTTCTGGTGTAATGCTATTGAAAGTTATTCTTTTCCACATCTCCTTGACAACCCTGTTTCTTCTATTTGCTCTTCCATGATTAGCCAATAAGACACTTATGACAAGTGTTCTGGATTTTAGACCATGATTTATTTTGTGAGTTTATTTGAGCATTCATTTTCCTTTACTCTTGTCAGAAATAGTAGAATGGTATATTCTACTTGCTTTCAAGGGCCTGCACAAATTTAGGGTGTTTAGGGCACAGAAAATGACATCCTCAGCTGTTCCCACAACATTTAAGCTGAAGAATGTCATCTAGGAGAAGGATAAGCACTAAAACATTGTTTTTGGGTATGGGTTAAAATAAATCAAAACAGCATATAGAACATACTTTTTTGCTGATATCATTTTAGGAGCCCATACCCTTGACTCCCCAAAATAATCCATATTCATCTGGCAACAAAGATTTTTTTACATATATGGATTTTTATGTTTAGTACAATGTCACCTATCACGTGAAAGCACAAATCTACTAAATAGTAAAATGAGGGATTAATTCCACTCATCTGTTGACAGACACTTCTCTAAATTGGATCAAACTGATTAAAGGTATTAGAATGACGTCTTGCAGATCCAGATCAAATTATTTGAAACTTCTAGATTGTTTCTTCTTTGCTTGGAAGGGACCACCAGAAATAGCTGTAGGTGCTCTTTGCCAATTATTTTTATTAATGTATAAGTAACTTGGAATTTTAGATATTACTTGCTCAAACCATAGGTTAGGGAACTCAAGATGGACAGACCAAGCAATGGCTTCCTTAAAATGATCTTATTCAGAGTTTTTTAACTATCTGGATGGTTCTTTCTAAAATTTCTCACAATCAAGGAAAGGATTGATACCGTGTAGTCTTCCAGTATCCAACATTACAAAGATGGCATTGATGAAAATCAAATTTACCCAGAAGAAGAGAGTAAAACTAGCTCAGGGACTATGGCTCATGAACTGGTTTTCAGTGTTTGCAGGAATCATTGTTTTTAGCATGGGATTGTTCCTCAAAATTGAGCTCCGGAAGCGAAGCGAAGTGATGGACAACTCTGAAAGCCATTTTGTGCCCAATTCCTTGATATTGATGGGAATATTATCCTGCACCTTCAATGGCTTTGCTGGCAAAATTAGCTATGATTCTCTGGATCCCACCAAGTTTGCAAAGTGGAAGCCTTTTCTGAAACCTTATCTGGCATTAAGTTTCTTTTTCAACACCCTCATTTTTCTCACTGCCCTGGTTTGCTTTCTCATGAGGGGCTCCCTGGAAAGTACACTAACCCAGGGGCTAAAGAATGGCATGAAGTTTTACAAGGATACAGATACCCCGGGAAGATGCTTCATGAAGAAGACAATTGACATGCTCCAAATTGAATTCAAATGCTGTGGGAACAAAGGTTTCAAAGACTGGTTTGAGATTCAGTGGATCAGCAACAGATACCTGGACTTCAGTTCTAAAGAAGTGAAAGAGTAAGTCATTTCATGTGGTTTATTTAACACTGTATTATTATTTGATCCATATCACATCAAAGGACTAGATGTTGAAATAGAGAGAGAACTATGGTCCTTACCTGGTTTTCATGTGGGATGGATTTTCATATACTTTATTTGAGAGACTAGAATTTCAAGTTATCAAACAGATTATTTTGTCTCCTGATCAATTCACCCAGCACTATCCAGAACATAAGTAACAGTGCGATAATTATCTTCCCGTTATACAACCTTAATATTGAAGGAATTTCAAAAACATTTGCTTAGTTTTTCTTTACCAGTTTGTCTTCCACGTCACAAGCCCAACTGTGCTGAACACATCCATACCTACTACAAAAATGAATTATATGAATAAGAGAATAGTACTGAATTACTGTAAAGAGGATCTCTCTCTGATTTGTAGGACTAGTAGAATTGTAAGGCTCTGGCACAGTCTCTCTCATGAAGACAAACTGAAACATACTTCTTCCTCTACTATATGGTCAGGGTTTTTGTTTTAAATCAAAGTTCTTTTTCATTTAGTTGCATGAATTAATTTACTGTTACAACAATACTCTGCAATTAACTGCCATCAGGAACTCTCTGCCTATCCTTTAGTGTAGTATTTCTAATAAATCAGATAAACGCTGTATTTTTTCAGTTTGAATACATTTTATCCCAAATATATTATGTAAAATTAAAGCAAAAAACACAGAGAAGAAATAGCACAGATTCTTCATGAAGTAGATTATGGAACATAATCACAAACCTTCTCTCTAATGCTTTTAAAATATGCAAAGTATGCGAACATTACATACAACAAAAGCGAGAAAAATTCAGAATGAAGGTAGGCTGTACCTTCAGGCACATAAAATTGGGCTTATAAAATCCTCTGACTAGAGAGAGGAAGTTTAAACAGTTCGTAGGCTTCCTATAGATCTCTCTACATTTAAATGGATTTTACACTGTCTTCTGAATTAACTAATACACCGCTTCTTTGAAGCAAGTGCTATGTAAGGATTATCGGTTACAAAAAGGAAAACTGACACTGAGGTTAACAAACTTGCTAATGACATCTGGGAGAACCAGTTTCAGAAAAGAGATCTCCACAGATCAGCCCCATGCTCAGACTTTCTGTTAGGCAAGGCAGTGTGAGCCATCATAACTCCTTTGAATTCTGATAAATAATAGAAAATCCCTTTAAGAGTGTATCCCAAAAAATGTAATGTCATCCCCCCACTTCTATACTGGATACTTCAAAATAAATGAAGACAAAGACATTAATGTTCTTTATCCTGTTTTTCTCTTTGATAATCAATATGTACTTGAGATCTCAATGAATGTATAGGAAATATTGACTGCTGATAAATTCCTTTCAAGCTCAGATAATTTCAGTGAAATAACTCTAGGGGTTTTTTAAACAGACCATGTAATGGCTGGCTCTGAGGTCACAGCATAGGAACACTTTGGTCTCTAGATCAGTTCAATGATAACTAATTTCACACCATAAAACAAACAAGCCCTTCTCCAAACCTTAAGACAAATGTGCTTTTTGAATGAAAAAAATATAACAAGTCAGCATGAACATGCAGAAACCTTTTGGCTAAATTAAACACCCAAGGGCATTGTGTTGGAAATAATAAGTAAACACAGTTTTATTATCATCTGCATGAAGAATGTCTTAAACCAGAAACACATCTATGTTTTAGATATATATTATGTATGTTAAAAATGACTGAAGTTGTTTAAAAAAACCTCTCTCATGCCCCAAGCCAGCTCCCTATGTGATTTTGCCTGTCTGTATTATTTAATTTGATCTTTAAAAACCTGCAGTTAGACATTTTATACTTAAAACAATGATGGTCTTGATTGTGCTGTAGCATTTTGACCTGACATTGTGACAATACACATATTTTTTTGCTTAAAATGGGAGCACTGAATTGCAGGAAATGCCCTTAGCTATAAATACCTGCTTGAAAACATAAGGAGAGGTTGACCCTGCTAGTATTATCTTAAGATTTGCAAACTGGAATGTAATCCATCAATGGCAGAAGGACAAAGCACAGGGAGAAAACAGGATTATATTGTTCTTAAAAATAGGGGATATGAGTGCCCTGGTAATTTCCTTGGAGATTTCTTCAATGCTAAAACAAGTAAGAAGGCCTTACAAATTCATGTCTGTGGCAATTTGGGACTGTGGGCCAAATTCTGATTTTTGATAGTGCTGTATATTGCAAAGCATGCAGTTTATTAACAGCGTATGAAATCCTGAAACCCTGCAAAACTTCCAGTTATTTCAGTGAAGCTAGGATTTAACCCACAGCATCTTATTTTTGCACTGACAGGCCCTGATCCACCTCCCACTGTTTTGCTAGACCTGCCAGCGACAGACAATGTCCTAAGAATAGAAAAGAATTCCGCTCAATATTCAGACGTGTTTACACCATGTTTCCAAAATTGGTTTCTTGCTTTAGAATCATAGAAAATGAAGGTTGCAAGGGACCTCAGGAGGTCATCTCGTCTAACCCCTATCCCCAACTGGATCATCCCAGCCAAAGCTGTCCAGCCAGCTTTTGAAAACATTCAAAGATGGAGCTTCTACCACCTCCCTCAGTAACCTGTTCCAGTGTTTTACTACCCTCCTAGTGAGAATTTTTTTCCTAATATCTAACCTAAACTTCCCATTGCTGCAACTTGACACCAGTGCTTCTCATTTTATCATCTGCTACCACTGAGAACAGTCAAGCTTCATCCTCTTTGGAACCGCTTTTCAGGTAGTTGAAGGCTACTATCAAATCCCCTCTCAGCCTTCTCTTCTCTAGACTAAATAAGGCCTATTCCCTGAGCCTCTCCTCATAAGTCATGTCCCCCAGTCCCCTCACCATTTTTGTTGCCCTCCACTGGACTCTTTCCAATTTGTCCACATCCTTTCTGTAGTGGGGGGCCCAAAACTGAACACAGTATCCAGATGTGGCCTCACCAGTGCAGAATAGAGGGAAATAATCATTTCCCTTGATCTACTGGCAACACATCTATCAATGCAGTCCAGTATGCTATTATCCTTCTTGGCAACAAAGGCACACTACTGGTTCATCTTCAGTTTATTGTCCACTGTAACCTCTAGGTCCCATTCTGCACAGTTGCTGCCCAGCCAGTCAGCCCCCAGCCTGTACCACTGCATGTGATTTTTCTGTCCCAAGTGCAGGCCTTTGCACTTGTCCTTGTTGAACCTCATGAGATTTCTTTTGGCCCAATCCTCCAATTTGTCTAGGTCACTCTGAATCCTAGCCCTACCCTCCAGTGTATCTAGAACTCCCCCCAGTTTAGTGTCATCTGCAAACTTTCTGATGATGCACTCTATGCCATCTTCCAGGTTGTTGATGAAAACATTGAACAAATCCGGCCCCAGGTCTGACTCCTGTGGTACTGCACTTGATACCAGCTGCCAACTAGACATTGAGCCATTGATTACTATTCTCTGGGCCTGATGCTCCAGCCAGTTTTTTATCCACCTTACAGTCCATTCATCCAGCCCATACTTCCTTAGCTTGCCTGTGAGCATGTTGTGGGAGACCGTATCAAAAGCCTTGCTAAAATCAAGGTACACCACATCCACCAGTTTCCCTGCATCCACGGAGCCAGTCATCTCATCATAGAAGGTAATCAGGTTGGTCAGGCATGACTTGCCCCTGGTGAATCCTTGCTGATTTTCCTAATCACCTTTTTCTCCTCCAAGTGCTTAGAAATGGATTCCTTATTCATAGATTCATAGATGTTAGGGTCGGAAGGGACCTCAATAGATCATTGAGTCCAACCCCCTGCATAGGCAGGAAAGAGAGCTGGGTCTAGATGACCCCAGCTAGATGCATATCCAACCTCCTCTTGAAGACCCCCAGGG